GGCCACCACCTGATATTTCTCCCAGCCAGTTCTCCCTCTCGACACCACCCCTGCTCTCAGACAGCAAGTCCTCGTTCTCATCTTGCCCTACAGTCATGCACCTCCCAAGCCCCGCTGATTCCACACTTACCCTCTCATCAGCTGCGCACACTCTGTCCCAGTCGCCCTTGCCTCTTCCCTTCACTATCCCTCTTCTGGGCAATTTCACGGTGGCACCAAAGCGACCGTCTCCTGGCCTCCCCAGTATTCCTTCTCCACTCCATCCTCTCCACTTCCTCCAGATGACTCTTCCTAAAGCCGAGCTCACGGTGTCCTCTGCTCCAAGACCCTTCGTGGCTCCCCGTTACCTACTGACGAAAAGTCAAAGCTGACGGCAAAGCACCTATTTGCAATTTACCACTAGGGCACCCTGCACAATGCTCAGATGGCTGCAAACTCAGCTGTTTTCCCTACTTGTCCTCATGATTCTTAAGCCACTCACCGCATTCTGCAATCGAAGAGTTGAAGACAACTCTTCATTTCCCTGCGAGCAGTACTAGCACTCCCTGCTCCCGGAGGTTGTGTCTCTCTCTTGTACAACTCTGGGCTTGCGACATTCTTCTCTGTTTGTTCATTAAGGTCCCTCTTGTGGGTAGTACTGGCATCTCTCCCGGAAGGGGCAGCTGACCAACTGGAGGCCACGGGAACTCAGACGGAAAGGAGACGTAGGCCCAGCAGGAAAGGGAACCCCCTTCCCTTCATGGCTTTTCTTGGGCTGGAGTGTGAGGAGCGTGGAGGTGCTGGAGGGGACTCCTGAGTGGTGAAGACGGCCTCTGTCACAGGAGAAACCGAGGGGGCCAGCACTAGAAAGCACGCAGGCTGAGCATGACAAGTTTATCTCCTTCCCTTCTCTCGGCACACGTTTACTAAAACACCTGCCACATGCCAAGAGCTGCGTGCCAGCCGTGGTGGGCTGGGAAGAAAAAGCCCTGATTCATAGCATTTGCCTATTTCTGTGGCTAAACATTCCTACCATTGCCGATTTCAAGCTAGCAACGTGACAGTACTGAAGGCGAAGCTGGGAAGAAACGCACTGTGCGTCACTGGTGGGGACACAGCTGTGAGTAAGAGGCTCAAGTAAGCCTTGGTCGCGGAGTCTGGTCTAACGGCATCTCTTTTCTGTTTTACTTCCACGTCTTCCCTTCTATTCTATGAGCTCAGGCCGGAGAGGGCGGAAGCCACACCTCACGCTTGGCTATTTTCCCCACAGCACCAGGCACGGTGCCCTGCTCGAGGGACACACTGCAGACTGGGCGGCAGATGGATGTCGTGGGGGCAGGGAGAGGATTGTCTGCCGAATGGATCCGCATGAGCTGCAAACGCATACCGGCCATACCTGCCCCCCATCCCAGCGGAGTGCAATCACCCACCAGCCATGGGTGAACTTCGAGTTGGCCTTCGGTAAGATTACACAGCTGCAAGTTTATCTCACGCCTTCTGCGCCCTGTGGCCCCTCTTCCCAGCTCCCGCACCCTTGGCCATGGCTGGTTCTCAGGCCTGCCCTCAGTTGGGACCCTCCTCCCTCGCCAAGGCCTTCGGTGGTGGGGCTGCGAGTAGGTTCCCTGACCTTGAAACCGTGTGAACAGTCAAGACGCGTCCCTGGCTTTTCAAAGGGGTCTGAGACCTCTCTCCACCCTCTCCTACCTCCAGAAAGGGTTTAGTTCTTCGGCTTAACCTATGATGTGTAGGAACTACGTGTGGATTCTGGTCACTTTTGGGTCTTCCAGAAAGACGGGAGGTGGGGAGGTGCATGTATCAGGTACCCGGGCTGAGAGAGAGAGACAAAGAGAGACACACACATACCAGGTACAAGGGCAGAGAGAGAAATAGGCACACGCCAGGTACCAAGGGGGTGCATACCATGTTCTTGCAGCCTGTCACCCTCACACTCCCACACCAGGAAAGAAACCTGCCACCCTCTCCAGCATGGAGAGCAAAGCCAGAGGCAGCTCTTCGCCCTGGCCCCAACATCATAATGTGACCGTCCCTGGGCCAGCCAATGTGGTAATCTGTTTCCATTTCTTTTCTATTGCGATGTTTATTTATTTTTGAGAAAGAGACCCAAGATCCAAAGCAGGCTTCAGGGTCTGAGCTGTCAGCACAGAGCCTGACGTGGGGCTCCAACCCACGAGCAGCGAGATGATGACCTGAGCTGAAGTTGGACGTTTAACCGACTGAGCCATCCAGCGCCCCCGATCTGCCTCCATTTCTAAGCGAGCGGAAATGGCACTTTCTCTCACAGCCACGGGTCCGGTTTTTAATGAGCGGGGCTGGACGAGGCACCAGCCCCATGGATTAGGCTCCTTCTCTCCATCCATTCTCCTCTTTTCAATATTCCCACCACAGAGCCCACAACACTTCAAAGATCAAGACTTTTATTTTCTCTAGCTCCAGTGTCGCCACCGTAGCAGCAAGCCCGAAATATCCCCAAGCATGAACGTATATTTGTCCCTGCTCCGAGGAGCTGGCAACACGTGCCGGCAGAAACTCTGCTATTTCCTTCAGGCATTTAGGAAACGACACCTGGTCACTCTCACACATGGTGCATCTCACAGGTCAGAAGCAGCAGTACCTTCACCCGCAACAGACACGACCACCCTTAAGTGAAGCTAAATAAAACCTTCCTAGCGTAACAATGGGTTGGAGATGCAGCGTTAGGGGGACGTTGGAGGACAGGGCTTGGAGTAAGGCATCACCGTTAAAAAAAAAAAAAAAAAAACAGAAACAGAAGACACACAGAAGGATGTAGGCTAGTCAGTCGCTAGATTCGATCCAAAGGTAAGAAGACGTAGTCCTGGATTGAAGCTTTATAGCATCTGGAAAAGATCAACTTTTTAATTCTAAGATAACGCTCTGGTCTACAAATGATTGCATCGCGAGTCACGGTCTGGGCTTTAGCGTTCACACCCGTGTGCACGCACAGTTATCGAGCACTGTACTCAAGTGGCATTGCCTGAGTACAATGTCCAAGCACATGCCGTGATCACGCGAAGGTGGTTGTCACTGGGGTGCAGCGAGAACATTTTCCTATTTACTTCTCAATGTCAAAGTCACAGTCTGCACGGGGCAACAATACAAACTCTGGAGCCCAGGGCAAGGAGGAAAGTCAGTTCCCGCAAAACGCAGCCCACTTATATTTGTTTAGTGCTTCACAACCTTCAAAACTCAGAAACATGGCTTATCCAGCCTCACAAAGACACAGTGGGGAAGGCACCATTTCCTAGCCAATCCACGTGTACGGTGAGAGGACAGCCACGGGCCGACTTTCCAGCTCAGCCCCCAGAGCGCTCAAACTCCTTTCCTGCCTCTCCTTGCATCCCAAGGAGATCTCCTAGTGAGGGGAACAGTTTCTTTTCTGAATAACATCGAAAACAAAATCCTGCAAGAGATTAAAGAATATTTTGCAGCCTATCTTACGTGGACAAAAAGTGGTTGGATAATTTAGAATTCTCTCTAGTTTTCTTCCTTTTGCAGAACTTAACAGTAATGCACAGCATGTTCACAGAGGATGTGAACACTTCCCACAGCACCGTGGTCTCCGTGGACTTTTTGCACCCACAGTGGGGCACAGGCTTGCTGCAGCTGGTTTCCAATTGGTGTGTGTGTGTGTGTGGGGGGGTGGTGGGTAACTCCAAAGTGGACAGGTCAGCAGCGGAGCCTTCCCAGGCCGGGAACACGGTCCTGTTCATGGGGCACAAGTGGAAGCTCCCTGACAGGGCATTCCCCTGTCCCTGACCTCAAAATTACCCCCTGGAGGCAGTGTGCAGCGTCTCCAGAGGAAAACTGTTCCTGACTTCTCGGCAGGAATAAGAGCCTCCAAAGGGGCCTGGGTCTGAGCCTCAGCGAGATGCACTACATCGACCGAGCGGAAGGTGAGGGGCAACGGGGCAAAGGCTGAACATACACGTGCCTCCTGCTCCTTTTTAAAGGGCTCTACAAGGCAATTGCCATCTTCCCTTGGAGAGGGCTGGCAAAGGGCGTGGGTGCAGGAAACAAAGTTGCACTTTCTTAGTGATAATCTGGCTCAGATGCACCATTTCAGAAAACAAGGCAGTGAGGCCTCGAGTTCTCAGCTGATGCAGACTAAGTGAGGCTGAAGATAGTTCTAGAGAGGCATCTTGACATGTGCATTAGAGTTCGGGCCTCACTTCAGCAGCTGGGTTCAGCCCGAGCTCCTGGCCTCTGTCACTGTGAGGTGAGAGGCTCTGTGACAGGTGAACTAAGGGTGGCGGAGGGATGAACAAATACCATAGACATACTTGCAATGTTTTTAAAAATCCCTAAAATGGCACCAGGAAGCAGATTTAGCCAACACACACACAGACAATATCTGAAGTGCCAGTTAAAGGCTGAAGCAGAAAGAAGTCCCAGGAATATGGGGTAGGATTTATCCCAGCTGCCCGCCCAACAAGTAAAACGTTGGCATTTCAAGAGCTACTGAGTGCTGGCCCAGAGAGGCGTTCCCGTCACTCACCACAAGGAAGGGAATGGTCTCAGTAGGTATAAGACTAGTCATCCTAACCCTATTGGGGACCACGGTCCTCCAGTGTGACCGTGCCACATTATATATGTGCCACCATTATATACGCATGCGTGCGTGCATACAGCAAGACAAAGTGCCCCAGGGCCAGATCTTTGGTCCTGGAATTTTTAGCACAAAGGTGACTGACTGAACAAAAGGAGAAAAAAAAGAAAAAAGTAGCTGGAAGTAATAGCTCATGATTTCATTTTCCACGTACCTTTTTCCCCCATGAAAAGAGAAATTCAAAATATAAACTTTATTATTTTACATTCAAGTGAAACTTCCATCTGGGGGGCTCCGCACAATTTTAGGCCGCATTCAGCAATTTACCACTTCGGTGCCTTTTTAACTTAACCCGATGGAAGCCTTCAGCCCTCTATTTTTTTTAAAAACAGCTTCATAGTCCCAGCTGTAACACCTATCTGTACACACACACAGGCACACACACAAATCCAAAAAGGTCTACGTAGAAAAATAAAGGATAAACATTATCCATCTATTTTATACTGTGTGCTGGAACTTTTATATACAGAACTCTCTTTTTTTTCTTTAATGTTTTCAGTCACTGCACATTTTCTCCCCTCTCGAGCCAACTGCGAGCCTAGGGCAGGAGACTGCTACAGTGAGGCAGAAAAGCTACATTCTTGCCAGAGGAAGGGAGACAAAAAGCCATTTGTCGCTTCCCTTCCAGTCTTTCCCCACCTACCACCTCGGATGTCCCTGCGGACGGCCTTCCGGTAAGCGGCTGTCCCCTCCCTCTAAGGCATCAGGGGAGCGGAGGGCCCATCCTGCAAACACCCCGCCAAAATCACCTCGGTGCGAGGACAAGGGAACGGAGGCAGGCAGGGAAAGCCTTTTAAAAATAAAAGATTCTGGAACCACTGCCCACAGCCCATTCCTTTAGTATGGAGTTCGATTCTCCAGCTTGTGCTTGGTGAGGAAGTACTTGAAGAACTCATAGACGGACCAGGAAATGGCAGTGGAGGGCATCTGGTAGATGACGCGGGCCTGCATGCCCTTGAAGTAGCCGGGCAGGCCATTGAGCTGGTATACCATCCGGAAGGCGTTGGCCATGCCCGACAGCCGGCCGCTGATGTTGGCCAGGTTGAGGGCCATGTTCTCCTGCGTGTTGAGGAGGGTCTTGCAGACGTCCAGGGGGGTGGTGGCGGCTGCGGCGAGGGCCCCGGCCAGCCCACCTGAGATGATGTGGGACTGCGGGTTGTAGCCCCGGTGAGGGTTGACTTGCTCCTGCAGGAACTCATAGGTGATGAAGTGGATGGACTGGAAGGGAATGTTCATGGTCAGCTGAGTGGTGTAGCTCCGGTAGAAGGCCCCCAAGCCCTCGGTCCTCCACACCGTCCAGACGCAGCTGAGGGCCGACCGGTGTGGCGAGTTGTACATCTGCATGCGCTGCTTCACGACTGTGGTCGGGGCCGCGGGCAGGCAATGGGTTGGGATCGGCCCCACCCCAGGTCGCAGTGAAATGGGAAGCCAGGCCATAAAGAGAAACAAGCAAGTTTAGACACACTGGTAACAGGTCACGGAGAGCTAGCACACACGCAGCCCCCAGCCTGAGGACCCAGAGCCAGCTCCGGGCACTCCCTGTTTCCAAAGGTGGCCCCAGGCCCCAGCGCCTGGTTTCTCCCGCCTGAATCCTGTTCAGGGTGGTCCCCAAACGAGGCAGCCACTTCAGACTAGATTCACTGATCTGATTCCCCCCAGAGCCCGCGGGCCTCCAGCATCACACCCACCACAAAACCGAATCCTGCCCCCTGGTCTCTCTGCCCTCCTCCCTCCTGGCTGCTCCCGCGTCCTGTCCTTTATTCTCTGTATGTGGTCCGGACTCAGCGTTTCTAGCTTCTGTGTGTCACAGCGCTCTTGGAAGACACACTGGAATTATGTCAGCCCAAATTCAATGACAAAGTCCAATGAAGACCCGGGCAGCTGCTGGTTCAAAGGATGAAGCCAATGAGGGCCAGCTGTGGTCCCTCAGGCCTAAGGGTCTGAATAGCCCCCCACGCACCACCAAATGAACACATACAGTGTGCTGGCTTTACTTTGAAAGAAATGAAGTCCTTAAACCATTATGTCAAAGAGGAGAGAGGGTGCTGAACCTCACTTGTTCCTCCTTTAAAAGTAGAAACAAAATTCTTGCCGGGATGACATGGTCTAGTTAACCGGTCACTCACCAGGTCCCTGTCCACACTGCTTTAAACACATAAAAACAGAAGCCCACCTCCCAGTCTGACCCATCAAGTCCCTGAAGGTCAGAACAAGGAGTCCCTGTCTGCCCGGGCATGGGAGGCAGCAGAGAGCAAATAAGAAATTTCAACCTTAAGAGACAAAAACAGACAAACTCGGAACACAAGACGTGAAAGGCTGACATTTTACCTCTGATTTTTCCCTTCTGGCAAGGGACCATTTTCAGATGGGGGGAAAGGTGGAGAGACTCATACATGTCACACAGAGAACAGCCCAGCTGAGAAGTGGCCCAATACCAGGTCCCAAATCTCCTCGCTGTGCGACCCGAGTCGGCTAAGGGCTCAAGTCCCCACAGCTGACAACTGTTTCATAGTTTTATAGTGCTCCCAAAATTCAAAATAAAAAAAGATAACGTGGGAGGAGTTGGCTAAGACAAGATGGCCAAAGGTTAATTCACAAGTAGAGTGATGTGCACGTGGTCGTTCCTAACACTCTTCTCTCTACACTTGTGTTACGTTTCAAAGTGTCCATAATAATTCCAAATCTCTTTTTAAAAAGTAAATTGAACCAAAGCCCGCATGATGGCCTTTGATGGGTTCCCCTTAAATTTGCCTACGGTTAATAAAGGTTAACAAGGGCCAGAGGGTGTGTGTGTGTGTGTGCATGTGCGCCCGCATGCACCTGTGCGCACGTGCACACATACACGTACACACAGGTTTTAGAGGAGTGCAAAAGGATCGCCCAGAGAGCTTGTTAAGACAGATTCTCTGGGGTGCCTGGATGGCTCAGTCGGTTGAGGGCCTGACTTCAGCTCAGGTCATGATCTCACGGTTTGTGGGTTTGGGCCCCATGTCGGGCTCCGTGCGGACAGCTCAGAGCAGCAGCCTGGAGCCTGCTTCAGATTCTGTGTCTCCCCCTCTCTCTCCTCCTCCCCACCTCATGCTCTGTCACTCTCTCTCAAACAAAATTTTTTAACTTAAGAAATTAAAAAAAACAGACTCTGTCTATACCCCCAGAGATTCGGATTTAGCAGGTCTGAGATGGGACTAGAATTGGCATTCCTAACATGGTCCACGGATCACAGTCCCAGTAGCTCTGTTTAAGAGGAACACCATAAGCTCAAATGCTTGCCTCTTTTCAAGGCCTTTGCTAACATGGTAAAGAATTCTCCTACTTATTCTGACTGGAGGCTGGAAGTCCCCTTGCCCGACCTTCTGTCCCCACCACCACCTTTTTTTCCTGCCCCTTTGCACATCCCCTTCTGCCATTCCCTGGGACCATGAAGCATTACCTTCTGCTGGATTCATTACCGCATCGTGGAGCAGGGTGGCCATACTCCCAGCTATCCCTGCAAAACAAACTCCAGAAAATTACCCTCAGGGACCGGGTGTTCTGAGGAAGTTCCTGGAACCTAAAATCAGATGGAACCCTGCACCGCTTTCTAAGAAGCAAAATCTACAACCAGCTCCACCCAGGTGAGCACAGACTCTTAAAGACATAAAGTGACGATCGAACTGTTGGGGGAAATGGGGAGAAGGTAACACAGGCACAGGTACCCACATTTTCATCTTGCAGATCTGTAGTCAATGCTCGGAAAGGCTAGACCCGCCGATGTTGGATGGTACCCGGAAACCACACTTCGTGGCTTTCTCCAGCAGAAAACTGTCCAGCTTTTAATTCTCCCCTGTCCCTCACCTTTGTCTACAGACTAACTCCCTCTGCCCTTGAGCCGGAGCAATCAAAGGGAATGGTATTATGTACACAGCTAAGAGGGGAAAAAGACATTTTTTTAAAAAAATCCTTAATCAAATCCGGGTGTTTTCAAGAAAACAGGCAGGGGAAGCAGGCATCAGGAAGATCTGCATGCGGCAGATTTCCAGGATTAGTTGGCAAAGCTAGGACTTGTCTCAGGGACGACAGACCCCATCCGAGGCTCCCATCTGGCCTGGCTTCAAGAACCAGGCACTTCCCAAGTCTGATTGGGGCCTGGAACTTTGCTTTTGGCTCTGGGTTTCCTCCCCAGGCAGGTGCCACTGCCCAGCCAATTAAGACGAGCACCCAAAGGTGGGAGGAATGAGAAATAGCGGGATAACGCTTCAGAAATGCATACACAGCCCCCTTCCCCCTCCGCCCACACTTACGATCACCACCAGAAAGGTCAAAATGCAACCACGGCATACGTCGCAGCGAAGCCGTAACAGCGCTGGGCAGAACTGTGTTGCATCAAACCACGGCCACGGGGCTCAGTGACCAAGGGACTAAACATTACACAAGGCAGTTGCAGCAGAAGTCGAACCCCAAGGCCACAGACTCAGGGACGGCATCAGAGTGTGGCCCGCAGCGCCTGTCTTAATAAATGCAACCAGGGGCCCGTTTTTAAAAAGCGAAACGAATGTCTGCAAACCGCCAGCGGGGGGGGGGTTGTTATTATCAGGGTCGCTGATGGGGCACTCTCAGTAGAACAAAACGAGAAGGGGAAAAGGTCGGGTCGCTGGCTCTACCCGCCGGTCCACCGTCGAAAACACGACCTTGTTAAAGCACACTCCAGGCTGCTCCAGTCCCTCCCCACCCAAATCTAAAAACTCAACAAAAGCCAAACCCAGAGAGGTGAAAAGAGCCGCTGAGCTGGGCCCGGGAAAACACGGCTGTGTAGGAGCCCCGTGCCAACTCGAGCCCCCGCCCGCCTCTTGCCCTCAAAACAACAAAAGAAAACTCCTCCTCCACAGAGATGCCACTGAGACCAACGGAAGAGAATGGGGGTGAAATTCCAAATCCCCAGAAGAAGCTTAAGGTGGAAAGGTCACACACTGTGCTGCCAAGCTAAACTGGTTTGGTTTTCAAATATAAAACTTTGGACCTTAAGAAGTGTTTAGTTAGATCTTGACGTTGTAGAGACTCAACCTGAACCAGTTTTTAAATAATAGTCTCAAAGAAGCCAGCGTCTGATAACTTTTTTTTTTTTTTTTTTTTTTGAACTAAAAAGCATTGTGTGCCTGAGCCTCTAGTCAGGGTTTTTTTTTCCCAAAGTAGATTCATCTGATCTGGCGTTTTGTTGTTTAAAAAAAAAAAAAAAACCAAAACAAAACAAACAAAAAAACTAAAACAGCAAAATGGAAAAACTACATAACAATGAAAATCAGAAAAACACCTCCTGTCACCGACTGCCCCAGGTATTTTAGAGTGCTGCCGGGCGAGGGAACAGAAAAAGCTGCAATGTGTGTGTGTGTGGTGTGTGTGACAGGTCTGGGTAAAAAAGCATCACACACTTAGAGTTCTTTCTTTTGATTCATAAGCAAGCATGCTGCATGAGATGAAGGCCAGGCTGCTGGGTCACAGAGGAGGAGAGCCCTGGGAAGGCCTGTTGAAGGAGCATTTCTAACTTCCAGCAGACAACGCCTTCAAAATACTGCTGGCTAGGTGGCTGTTTCCTTGGTGGGTGGAAAAAACGCATTTGAAAGTCCTTTTCATGTTTTCACAGAGGCAGGCAAAATACAAGGCATGGGGCCGTCCCCACCATCACCATGTCACGCTGAGTACCTCAGGGCCTCCAGAAGTCAATGATTTTCTTGAGGGCCCGACGCTATGTACTGGGAAGCTGGGATCTGATCAAACCTGGCATTCTGTCTAGGGAGGTGAGAAAAACAAACGTGGGGAAGTAATACAGGATGCAGGTGAAGAGAAAAGAAGGACTGGGAAGTGTGAGTAGTGAGAGGGAGAGGAAACCCACTCCATTTTCTTGAGTTCCACAGGATTTCAAGAAGAAACATTTATTCCTCTCCACTTTCACATACATGGATTTCAAGTGGCGCTCAACAAAGGGGGGGAAAGTCAAGTTGGGGGGGGTGGTGATTGGAAGAGGTAGATGCAAGTTGTGGGGTGTGGGACTTTGAGGAATCTCTTTAACCTCTGGACTCGGACCTCAAATGTAATTAAAAAAAAAAAAAAAACAAAAACAAAAAACAGGATTCTGGCTAACGTCAAATGAAATCATGTATATGAAACCCTTAACTCAGAGACCTAGTCAAATGGAAGTATTATTATCCTGTGGTTCCCACTCTGGTCCTAAAGCCTGTGTCCTCACTTATCTGGGACCTCCATGGTCTGAATGCTCCTGCTGTTCAACCCCAAACAGGAATCTCCCAGGGGCCCTCTGGGCTTCATCCCACATCTCCTCTAAATGCACTTCACATTTTGTCTTCTGAAGTTAGCACATAAATATAAATGGTCTTGTTCATAATTTCTTCCTGTGTATAGCCTTGCCTCCGTGAGGCAGAAGCTCGGCTTTCCCTCATCTTTGTTATCCCTTCAGATTTCCTGGGCACTTGCGTAGGTGTGACAATTAATCTACACGTCCATGTAGCAAGACCACAGTACCCACGCTGGCTCCAACTAGAGCAAACAGTACTCTAGATGTCGCTATGGAGGCATTCTTAGGTGTGATTAACATTGAAACCATTAAATCAGACTGAGCAAAACAGATTACCCTCTGTAATATGGTGGGCCTCATCTAATCAGTTGAAAGCCCGAAGAAGAAAAAACAACCTGTTGTCCCCCAAGGAAGAAAGAATTCTGCCTCCCGAAAGTCTCTGGACTGGAGCTCTTCCCTGAATCTCCAGCTGGCCTGCCTTGCAGATTTCGATTCCCCAAGCCTCCGTAATCACATGAGCCAATTCTTTCCACATACACACACACTTTCCCCACCATCGCTCTTATGGCTTGGTCTCTCTGGAGAACCCAGTATCTCCCAGGTGAAAGACCCACCCTGCCTCAGTCCTGCAAAAGCAACAAACAGCACGCCTTCCTCCACTCCCCTCAACACACACACAGCCTAGAGGAAAGGGTCTCCAGTCATCAGCATGGATATCCTTCTACCACACCAAGCAAAATCGTACCCAAACCTAACACGTAAAACTGAAGAATTTCTCTAACTGAGAATGGGGTGAAGGGCCCTGGGCCCATGTCTCAACTCCGAGGCAGAGACACCCCTACCTCCCCACCCAGCAACTCAACGGCTCAGAGGAACAGCGTGAAAACCAATGATCTAAATTAATGCTCATATGTAGTATTTAAGAAACAAATGAAGGAACAAAGAAAAGAAAACCAGAGAAACAAAAAAGCAGGCTCTTAACTATAAAGAACAAGCTGGTGTGTTCGCCAGAGGGCAGGTGGGCGGAGGGATGGGCGAAGTAAGTGATGGGGATTAAGTGGTGCACTTATCGTGCTGGGCATTGAGTAAGTGTGGAAGGGGTGACTCATTATACGGTACACCTGAAACTAACATAACACTGTGTGTTAATTACGCTTGGATTTTAAAACAAAAATCAATAAAATTTTTATTTTAAAACTTAGAAAAATTTTTCAAATTCATAATAATTTTCAGATTTCACCAGCTTAGTAAAAACCACAAAGAAAATGGGCACATCGTGGGCAACTTTTCATTTTGCCAAGAAAGGACATCAAACAGTAATGATGTGAGTGGCAATCACCACTGCCCTCTATTAGGATCATTCTCTACGAGAAAAGACATTTTTAATGCTTAAAGAAAGCAGAAACAAAAACAAAGACTACCTCTGGTCATAAAACTGTTCTTTACATTAAATTTAGCTTTATCAAAAATGTACCACTTTAGCCCAGTGAAAATACCCCCTGGCCCAGCCAGAGCCATTGCTGGACACTGGGGCCCACACTCCAGGGGAGTGCCGGGTGGGAATGGACGGGGTCAGTGTCCCTGTGCCTTTCTGTTTGTTTCCTATTCTGACATGTTCCCAAAAGTATCTGAAGAGGCTTAATGATGGAGGATACATTATAAGCAAACAAGAGCAGGGGAAGAGACACACACTTGTCAACCAAGAGAGCACCTGACTCGCAGGGGTGAATACTCCACCTTGCTCGGAATATGCAAAGCGTTTACTCCGGAAGGGGCAGCACTGCTTCTCCAAGGACAACACAGGTTATCTTTTAAATTCTAAAAGACACTTGAAATCGCTCACATTCTAGAGCAAAGAAAGCTTTGCATTCTCCCTGGCTTTTTCTTATCATTGCCCCTGATAAAAAAGCTGGAGTACAATGCAGGAGGTGGTATAGAGAGAACAGGGATGGGATTCAGATTCCATCACTTCCGTGTGACCCTGGGCAAGATGGTTAACCTCTCCAAGCTTTAGTTTCCTCTTCTGACAGAATGGTTAAGGAAATTAGAGGTCTAGGACCATCATTACTGTAATAACAAAGGAGGCACCAAGAGGCTACGTAATATGATTCTAGTATATAACCTGCAGACGTCTAAGTTCCATGGAGGGGGGTGCTGCAACACCTATTCTGGTGTCTAACTCACACTGGGGGCCCAACAAATATTTGTT